GGGTTGCCATGCTTGTACCCGGGAGCAACAGGCGGATGACGGTCCGCCAATCTTCGAGCTTGAAGTGTGGTGGATCTATATAGTGATTCAGATCCCGTAAGTTTAGGATAAATTTACCTCCGGACGATTTGTCTAAAAGGAAGAAAGGAGATAAAAATTGATGTTTAGATGGCTCTGTGGAGGCGATAGCCCCCTTGCTCAGCAAGCGTCTTAACTCTTTATCGCACGCGAGTGTGTCAGACTGAGAAAGCACTTGTTCGGGAAGAGACAACCCGAAGGGTAACGCCCTGAATTCGAATGTGGCCTTACGCCACCGAAAACGTAAAAATTTTCTGTGTTCCTCAAATATGGGGATCAAAAAATTAGCTTCTTCTAGATCCAGGGTTGCCATGCTTGTACCCGGGAGCAACAGGCTGATCACGGGCCGCCAATCTTCGAGCTTGAAGTGTGGTGGATCTATATAGTGATTCAAATCCCGTAAGTTTAGGATAAATCGTTTACCTCCGGACGGTTTGTCTAAAAGGAAGAAAGGAGATAAAAATTGATGTTTAGATGGCTCTGCGGGGGCGATAGCCCCCTTGCTCAGCAAGCGTCTTAACTCTTTATCGCACGCGAGTGTGTCAGACTGAGAAAGCACTTGTTCGGGAAGTGTAGATCTCGACGGGACGCTACAAGAGAAGGGAATACGGTAGCCCCGGATAGCTTCTAAGACTGAAGGATCAGTAGTAATGTCGAGCCAATTTTCATAAAAGGAGCTTAAGCGGCCTGCGGTTCTTCGTTCAGCGGCGACACCGGGTCTGAGAGTGGGACCGGCGGTGGCGGCTGTTGCGATATGAGGCTCCCGGCCGGCGGGCCGCTAGTGGACGGGCGGGAGCTCTCCTGTTTTCCGACAGCGTTCTTCTAGATGCTTGAGGTTGATTTGGCTGCCGCAATCCTTGGCGGACTGGTTGCAAAGATTTTTTCCCCATTTGCACGGTAGATTTGGAGACCTCGCGGCTTGTCCTTTCGCAAACCTGAGCCGCCTTGAGAGTTTCTGCGAAGTTTTGTCCAAACAGATATTCGTCGATCTGTGCAGTGTCTGCTGCATTTTTGCCCACTAAGTTCAGGGAAGGTTTAGTAAAGGCTCTTCTATTTAACTGCGATATGTAAAGGCTCTTCTATTTAAAGAGAGGTGGTAATGATGATCGGAGAGAAGGTGTAAACCTTCCGCAAAGAATGTTAGAGCCGATCTCGCTTCTGTGTTAAGCGTTTGTAAGGTGTCTGGGTTTAATAGGATAGACATACCTGAGCCCAGAGCGTTAATACACGCTCCAACCTGAGCTTGGAGAAGCGCTTGATACTCATCTCGTTTGATGACTGATGGGGTTAGCGCTGCAGCCAGTTCCTTATTTAGTTTCGGCGGAGCCAAAAAGTGTAGATCTCCCTTGGGCTCATATTTAGAGAGAAGCCGCGTACGAGCCTCCCTGCACATACCGCTACGTGATTCAGCCTGAATTGAGGTTAGCATTGTGTCATTCCAGCAAGATGACGCCGAAGGTAATTGGGCTTCCCCAAATAGCTCACAGGTTAGCGTTAGTACCTCTGAATTAGTGCCCGCGACCTGTGGGGCTGTGTCCTCTGTGGCAAGTGTTTCTGAAACTGACTGGTCCTGAGGGGGCGCAGCTTCGAAAACCTCCTCGTCTGCCACTGTCTCTACCGCCGCTAAGGAAAAAGGAACAAAAAAAGCAGAAAAAACAGAAAAAACAGAACTGATTAGGGGTGAAGGAACCGTCGGATACGCCTCTCTATGCCAAAGACAAAATTGGGTCGCGGAGAGGACGCACCTGGTACAGAGCCTCGGTCGAATCTAGCGACCGCCGGTCCTTCATTGCCCTGATTTGAGGCTGAGAATGTAGCCGGGGATGCTGGTGAGGCCATAATGCCCCGCGTGTCGCCCCTATGCTCGTTGCCTTCCACTGAATTGCTATTAAGAGCTAGGTTATGTCCGTGACTCTTACGGGTGCACAGCTTACGCACCTGGTCTAGGAAATCTATGAACCTCTCGTTCGAGTGAGAGCGGTGAGCTGGGGGGTCGTTCGTCGAACGCCATTCCCTCGACGAGTCTCGTCTCCTTGGCGGGCTTCTCGATCCTGACGAACGGGCGCCTGGCGATCTGATTCTGCGATGCCGGCTTCGCGAGCGGTCTTGCGAGCGGTCTATACGATGAGCGATGTGCCGGCGACGTTCTCGAGAGTATCTTTTACTTTTATTGTGTGGCATTGTAATATGCTGAACACTGCGAAACACTGTTGCTTAGGCGAGCGAACAGAATGAACAGAACACAATGAACTGGCGACGCAATGGCGGCGTCGGGGAGCGCTGAGGCGCGTGGCGGAGGGATACACATAATGGCGCGCGTAGCGGAGGGATACACTTGAGGGCGCGCATGGAAATCGGGCTTTTGATTCTAGGGATTTTTTGAACGCTGTTGCGAAGGTACGTGCAGGAGCACGACTACATAGTTATGTCCATCCGGACGAGACAACATAGGGCATAATTTGAGCTATCAATAAATTTCGTATTACCGACCGTTATCATGATAATTTTCGTCCCGTTCAAAATCACCCGTGGTTCTTGAATTATGCCAGATTGTTCTACGATGTATTTTAAGATAAACTGAACGTCAGACACTTTCACATTATGCGCGATTATTTTGTTAAAATATTTAGACGTTCGTGTTGCGAAATCTACAAATTCTTTTACCGGATTATGGTGAAAAACAAATTCACGCACCCCGCACCAATGACATCGCGTCGACATTTCTTGTATTTCCGCGCACGTTTCGCAAATTTGTTGCGCGACGCAAAGAGTCAGTATGTGTATCTTTACGTTCTCCGTTCCTTCGAGCGTCTCGTCTTGTCGGGTTTCGAAGTCATAGAACACGAATGCGACGCGATCTTTTTTACTTCGCCCATCATTCGCACTTTCGACGTCATTGTCGTCGTTTACCTGGTTCTCTTCTCGCATTGTCCCAGCACTCGTCCCCTCTCCGGAGTCTTCGACTGTGACTTTACGACGAAGAGGCTGTATGTAACAAGAATGATTCGAAGTTTGCAACGAGCGACAAATTTTACAAAAGATAACGTCGCAGTCGTGACGCGAATTCGATTTCACGAAGCGTCCGCAGTCGTTGCAAATTCTAACGGAATTGCGTCCGATTTTCCATCGTGAGATCTTTCCGCACGATGACGCTCGAAACAGGGATTTCCGAAGAACGTACGATTACACGAATCGCATCTAACCAACTCGGCGCCGGAACCCTCGCACGACGGAATCGCGTAACATCGCGGACATTTTCTCGCGCAACGATGCCCTCTACCGTTCCGATACCCGGTGTTGCACGCCACGCAATATTCTCCTCGAGAAACGGCCGCGGCTTTCATGTTTAAAATTGGCTGATAATGCCTCGAACGCTCGTAATACATAATATTTAAACGGAATGAAGGTTCACGACCTAGGGAGAAGAGTAACGCGCAGCCGTCGTACAACGGATTCTCGCCGCGACCAAAAGTACTGAAACAACTGTCGCGAAATTTTCCGCAGCGAGAAACCGTTGAAATTGCTCAATTTCACGAATTCCGTATTCCTCCTCGGGAATCGTGATACCCGCAGAAATCGTTAATTCTTTAACCAACTCGCGTTGTAAAGAAGAACGCTGCTGTCTCACGGATTCCCATCTTTCATGTAGTTCCCCCACGCGTAACCCTGCCCGCGATCGTAATGCACGCGTGCCGCTACAAGCGAACGGGGAAAACATAAATTGTCGAAATTGGCAATTTGTAAAATCGAGCGTTTGGCTACGTCTTCGCGCGTTAATCGATTGGACTGACGTCCGCGACTGGCAGGAAGCGAAACTCTGAAAACGCGTTCCGTAAAATTTTCTTCGATATCGATTGCTCCAGCACTTTGCTCCAACGAACTCACGAGCCCCCATATGTCTTCGTGGGTTAGGTCGCGTGCTGGACGACACGACAATCCCGCTGGACCACGCGCTAGATCAGCCGACTCAACCGATAACCCAACGTAATCGCTCGGTTCGCACGTATGTACTGCATACGTTCGGATTTCATGAAACGCGTTTTCTAGCCATTGAACGCTATCGCTACCTTCAGGTGGCGGCCGTATCGCGAAAGTCGCCTCTCTCCCTAGAATCGCGAAATTTCTAAATTGCCGCGAGTTTTCCGCCCGTAAATCTATATAATTAAAATTATTGACCTCGTGCTGCCGACATCGTTGCTCCTGTTGCTGATGCTTCTGCTCCTGATCTTCATTTTGAGCCTGACGAGGTGTCGGTGGTGTCGGCGGCGGCGGCGACGGCGTCGGCGATGGTGTCGTCGCCAATGCCGGTGTCGACTGACGGGACCGCGGGGGTGACGCTAGTTGACGATCTCCCCTTTGTGAAGGCGAAGGGAGAGCGTCTGAGGGCTGGACAGCACCACCACCAATTTGTACTGAAAAGTTAAACAAAATCTTTATTTAAATTTCGTTGACTTTGCTATATCATACCTAAAGCTTATCCCCCTCCCCCACGTGTCATAATGTAACAGAAAAGTAAGGTAACTCAACTTTAGCTGCTTCATATGATCGTGAGCCGGGGTATTTTTTCGCACGAGATGTCTCTCTAATATTCCGGCGACTACGGTAAAACCGGTGAGTAGGAAACTTTTAATAGAAAAAATATATGTTTATATAAGAAAAATTTTTCGAAACAACGGGTTAAAAGTAAACAATAAAATATTATTACCTTCGACGTAATTGTCGCCCTCCTCTTCTCCGACTTCCTGCGTCACGTCCTGTGTCTCCGGATTTTCGTCAACCATATCATCGATTTCCTCGTCACCGATATCATTGGTTACATCTTCGTTCGCTTCATCGATGATATCACCGGCGTCTTCGTCGTCCTCGTAGTCGTAAATGTCATTGTTAGTTTCTTCTTCTTCTTCTTCATCTTCTTCGTCTTTTTCTTCCTCTTCTTCATTTTCGCGTGCTAGAAAGTAATTTTTACTGTTATTTTTCTTTTTTTCCAGAACTAACTCTATGTTTCGTTAACCGATTTTTTGAACTTACGCGACATTGAAATAATGGCAATTGACGAGTTCCTTGATCGCTGCGAATCTCCATTATCCTCGTCATCAACATCATCATCATCATCATCATCTAAAATAGAAACGTTTTTATTTTTCTTATTATTGCAGTAATATCATATGGGGTGATCCCGATTGATCACGGCTCGATTGGACACCACCAATCACAGCGACCGGTGCTTAGGAGCTTTGTAGTCTCAAGCGTTGTGAGTGGCTCGTGTCCAATTGAGACGTGCCCAACTGGGTGCCACCCATATCATATGAACTATATTTTACAGTAGAATATTTTTCAAATCATCTTACCTATTTCGATGAGAGGGATGCTTTGTCCATTGTGTGGAGGCGGCGCATTATTCGGCGGTTCGATTCGCGCTCTTCCTAGAAAAAAATTAAAATATTTTTAATAAAGGAAATTTCCAGCATTTGATCAATATTTTTATTTTTCCAACTTACGCGCAGGAATAACCTCGTCTTCATCCTACGCGTGACGTCGTCGTCGTCACAGACTCAGACGTCCACGTCGCACGAATTGCACGAGATTAACGTGCGCCACTTGACGATTTGACGCTAAAAATAAATATTATAATTTAATTAATAATAATAATAAATCTTTTTTTTAAATGTATAATTTTGTTTCAGCTCAGCTTACCTACTCCTACTCCTGTGTTACCGTTGATCCTATGACGAAACTCATCAATATGACCACCAGCGTCATCCTCCTCACGATTGAAACACTCGCGCACTTCTATATGCCGCGAGATTGTTAGCGTCATCACACTATCACAGTGCCCCAGTTTATGCATAATGCATAGTAACGTATTGGAGCACTTTCGCGTAAAGTTCTCGAAAATTTTGTAATTGTTTTCACTTTCATCTGATAATTTCAGTATATAGTCTCTTGCAATCAATTTTTGATTAAGATTGCAAGCGACTATAAAAAATTTAGATAATAAATCACGAAGATCCATTTTTTTCGCATTCGCAATAACATTTATAGAAAGCACGCCCTCGGAAAACAGGTCGACACAACGAGAAGTTGAAGCCAAACTAGAGTTAAATTTTCAACCTATTTATTCACTCAAAAATACGTTAAAAAGGGCGTTTCCTTATTTCCTTCTCCTAAGTTTGTTTAGCTAATAACTAAGGTTCTCCATATTTTTTTTGTAAATATTCTTACTTAGAAAGTCGACTATTTCTTATTTGTTAAAACCTTTTATAAGTTAAATCATCTTTTTATCCTTACCGTGTAATCTACAAAAAATTTACACTTCTGTCAAGGCATACTTCATTTTCCAATCATTTTTGTAACGTACAACGGACAGGATATCATAAAACAAATTTGTACGCTCCTGTGTGTGTGTGTGTGTGTGTGTGTGTG